TTTGTAACCCTTAAGCAGCGTCTTAGTGGTCTTTGTCCGATTTATATTTTAATTATCTGCTAAACTGCGGCTGAGGGCCATGTGGGAAAGAGCCGCGCGCTGACCCCAGCAGCTGTCAATCATCCAGCAACGAGCTGCACTTCATATTCATACACACAAACAATATATCTAATATAGAGACCATTCAGAAATACTGCACAGCTTTTTTTGATTGTAGTTTATTTGTTGTATTTTTATAGTTCTTGTAAACATTTTGTGTACAATTTTATTATATAGTAGGCCTATCTCCTAACATTTGAGTGTATCTTACTGTTTTCATATGCACCCTACACCAATGCAAAATGTGTAAATACAATACTTGCAATTTAAGTTACCCGATTGTGTTTCTCAAAAATACAATGTTAAAACAAGGATTTCATTTAATTTCAAAACCAGGTGATGCAGCAGTTCTACATTAATTCCAGAAGAAGCAAGCTTACTCACACAACACTTTAACGTCGCAGCTGAGGTGGTTTTGATTTTGATGGCTATATAAACTGCCAGCTTAATCTACAACAATAAATTATACGAATCATCTGAATATGCAAAGTGACTAAAGCTGGCATAGTAAAAAGTTCCCTTTCAAATCAAGTGCAATAAGGGTATAAAGTAGCATACAATGATCAGCAATTAGTTCAAACTTGTACAAATTACTTTAGTAAATATTCTTATTTACTGTCCTTTACTGAATAATACTGAGATTACATCAAAATGAGTGTCTAAAGTTGTGATATAACATGAATCTAAAGTAGAGAAACGCTCAGTTCAATCTAAAAAAGCTTGTATTTGACGCCATCTGTTGGTCAGAAATCCACCTCTGAGGAAAGGAGACTCATGACGGGTGTTTACAAAGACCTGCATGTAATCACATTTCATCACAAATGCATTCATTTAAATATATTTTAGGGAATTCCAAAAGATATATGTTATTAATTTATTCAATTAATTTATTTCATACATGATTGACAAAATGTTTAGTCCATTTAGATCTAAATTCCTTACAAAGAAATACAAAAATTGATCCTCAATATCCTTTAGGTAATCTTTCAGTGATAAATTGTTTAAGAATACATTTTCTCCATCATCATCCTTATCAAGAAATCCAACAAAAATATCCCAAAACTATTAATTGCAGCTACTTCAAAGTCTATAAGTGCAAAATGGTGGAAACATTCACCGCTATGGTCAAATCCAAACATGTACAAATGTGCCTTTTCTGTTATTTTGGTCAGTGTGATTACAGCCTCCAGACATATTGTGAGGCATTTGGAAAATAATTAAAGCTCAAGATCTGAAAGATTGGTTAAATTATGTAAACAGCTCCTTTTTTACATATGAAGTGGCCGGTTTAGATAAATGATTTCATTTGTCTATTTTTGTATCTTTTTGTTGGCTGATTCTGTCACTTCTATGTGTGCTTCCTATTTTTACTTTCATATTTATAATAATATACCAATGGCATTAAATGCGTGTATTTGGCTTATTCTTTGCAGCCTCTAATTAAAACGGATATCTTTTATTTTACTGTGAATCCATATTATGTATTCATGATTCTTGACTTTTGTGGTCCCCTTTTTATATTTTACTTTTTTATTCTATACCAAAAGTCCAATACCTTGACTGCAGGTCTGTATTGACTGAATAAATACCTTGTTCTGTACATGAAAACCTTCTTGACAATATAAACATATATATATTTCCATTTTCCAACAATGTGTATAAGATTTTGCTGCCATATAAAATCAATAAAACCTTAAATGAAAAAATTATGAATAAACAATTAGATTATTGTGCACCAAAAGTCAATTTCCTTATTCACACATTTTGTATTTCTTAATTTTTTTCAACAAATTCTACTCTCCTCAGATTTAGTTGAAATATTAAATAAATAAAACCTGAAAAGAAAATACTGCTGAATATGAAATGCGACCACATCTCTATTTCCTTCCCTCCTTTGCTGTTACTTAAAACATTCCTGCCTCCACAGACGACCAACAGTCATCTCAGTAGCAGCTAATAGAGATCAAAATGTGGGGAAACAGAAATGCAGCTCAGAGGAAGCCCTCTCCTGCTGTCTGCTTGTCTGTGCTGAATATTAAGTGACGGCCGGATGATTTGTCCTTGTGTTTGTCCTCCTCTGATACTTCCTCTCTGGGCGTCACATCCCCCATGAAGAGGCTAATCTGCTCCCAGCGGGGATCCTCCCGATGAAGAGCTGAGAAAAAACGCTCAGACATACGAGCCATTGTCCCGAGTCAATACAGACCTGCAGTCTGCAGCCTCAGACCTCCGTTTAACATTTAGGCGGTTTTCTTTTTAATTCTGCCTTTTAAAGTCAGATTGTTATCTATAATATGCTGCAGCTTTTTCAGCATTCATATTGTTTACACTACAACAATATTCTAGGCTTCCACTTATGGAAGTATAACTTAAAAAAACTGACAGTTGAGAAAAAGGTCAAAGTTCAACTACAGATTTCTATACTTATATATTTTGTACCAACATTTTGGAAGAAAGTAACTAACTAACTAAATAACTATCTAAAACCAGCGTCAATTGACCCCAATGCAATGAAGTTAAATGAAAGGCAGCAAAATTGTTTGGACTTAAAAAATGTCAGCATCACCACAAATACCCAAAACTAAATGCAAGATGTTTATATTTGAAATGTAGTAAATGATCAAATAGTGCATTACAGAAGATGAGGTAGAAAGGGCACACTTTATCACGAAATAGCATAAAGAATTTCCCAATTTGGGATTAATAAAGCATCCATCTATCTATCCATCTATCCATCTATCCATCTATCCATCTATCCATCTATCCATCTATCCATCTATCCATCTACCCATCTACCCATCTATCCATCTATCCATCTATCCATCTATCCATCTATCCAATAGCGTATATAACACGTTCTGAACCGAATAGGATCTGCAGGTATTCTGGATTGTATTTTTTCCTAAAAATGTTAGTTTTTTTTAGCCACATTAACAACCACAAAAGACTTTGTTCCCTTGATACCTAAATCTGTGTAACACTTGATCCACAAACAAGCTTAAGTAGATGTAAT